CAGCACATCTCTCCTTGATTCAGTGATCTCAGCTGTGAAATGGGCCACTCTCAGTACCTGCCTGTAGTTGGGGAAACCCCAGAGTGCCAGCCATGTATTATTGGTGTGGCTACCATGGTCTCAACTTTTGTCTCCTATCAGCATAGCTTCTTCTCCCCAGCCAGAGGGCCTTATTGACATGAGCATTAGACTACGTCACTCCTAAGGCAACTCTGTACCATGGTGTAGACGAATTTCTAAATGGTCTTAGTAAATAAAAAACATGGAGCCAAATAGAGGAGTGAAAGCCTTAGAGATCAGGGAACTAGTGAGAGCCACCAGCCAACCTTACCTCACCAACTCTGCAGCTCCCAAAAGTAAGCTACTTCCTGTCTTACCCATGCCTTTATTGCCTTGCTGTTCTGCCCTCTCATTGGCTCTTAGCCCAGCTACCTCACTTCCTTGTCAATGTGTGTCTATACAGACCTCCAGGTCTCTATGGTTGGTACTGGGATTAAAGGCGTATGTCATCATGCTTGGCTCTGTTCCCTAGTGTGGCCTTGAACACACACAGAGATCCTGCCTTATAAGTGATCAGATTAAGGGTGTGTGCTACCGCTGCCTGACTTTTGTGTTAATGGCTTGCTGTTTCCTCTGATCTCCAGGCAAACTTTATTTATTAACATACAAATAAAATATCACCACACCATGGCTTCCAGGGAAATCTTCCAGTGGATCATGAGTCTAGGAACTTCTTGCTGCTCCAGTATGCTAAGGCCCAGGACAGATGTATGACCAGGAGTCTGATAAAGGGTCCTTAGAGAGAGGAATATAATATAAGGTTGGAAAATAGAACATAGCTTTGGCCACAGGTTCCAGAGAGGGATAGGAAAGTAGCCAGACTGGCTAGGGAGTCCAGAGAGTCCCATGAATGGGGATGGCACAGCACTGTGTGCATGAGTGTACATGCAGGGGTGTGTGTGTGTGTGTGTGTGTGTGTGTGTGTGTGTGTGTGTGTGTGTGTATGTGTGTGTGTTTTTGCGGGGCAGACAAAGGAACCCAGGAACCCAGGGCCTCTCCTCTGAGATGGTTCATGTAGATAAGATAGTACGGTAAGGATAAGGTCAAGACTATTATTTGGGGCTCAAAGACAATAAAATGTCTTCATTTTTCATACATGAGGTCACAGCACAAAAGAAAAACCTCTCTTCCTCCCAGTGTGTGTGGAACTTTTTCTGCCAAACTCCATTTGAAGTCTGCTGTTGCCCCAGAAGCCCTCTCTCTCACCCTTCCTGTGGGCTGTCATCAGGCCATGCTCCAAGCCCAAGCTGGCTGGGGTGGTCCTCTTTGAGACTTGGTTTCCTCACCTACAGGTCAAAAAGGCTGAGGGTAACTGTGGTTCTTGGAGTGCAGAGGGACTTGTGGGAGCTGGTAGGCCAGTGAGGGCAGCAGTCAACCCTGCCAGTGTGGCAAGAAGCTGCAGTCTGCAGGGTGTTCTGATACACCCTTTCTGTATGAACACTGCAACAATTCCAGGAACTAGCACCGCCCCCCCTTGACAAATGGAGAAGTGGAGGCTTATTGGGCAGTGAATGAGTCACGTGAAGATGTCTTGTGGGAACCTGGGAGTTGTTGACAGCTACCTTACTTGGGTGTGGGAGTAGGGAACCCAGCTGCACATCCTCACAGGAACCTCTGGAAGGTGCCCTGGCCTCTCTGATCTCTGGTTCAGCTCTCTCTGGCTCTAGCTCTTTTGGCCCTGGGAAATCTCAGGGTTCAGAACTGCACACTGTGTTTTCTCTAGGTCAAGGACCAAAGCATTAAATCCCCACAGGGCTGGGGGGTCATTAAGTGGAGTGGGAAGTGACCAAGCCAGTGCAAACACATCCGCTGCCAGAGCGACAGCAATGCCAGAGCTCCTGCAGAGCCCAGACTGCTCTGGAAGCAGCTGCTTCTTGGCTCCGGTCAGTCGGCGGCATCCCTGGAGTTGGGGCTCAGTGTGGTCAGGGGCTCTGGTCTTTTAAGAGAAGCTAAGTATTTCTTGATTTCTAAGACATCAGTCCAAACCTATTTGTTCTCAGCAGCGCTTTGAAACAGCATGTGGACAAATAAATAGAATAAACCGTGAGAGGCCTCATCCTTGCCAAGGTCCAGGCAAGCTGGGGTGAAAGTCGCCCATGCCATAGTTGTGGGATGCAACATTGGTTCCTAAGTGAGGTCATGGCTCTCTAGAGTAAGATGGAGGATTCCCAGAGCTCCTCTCCTCCCCCCTGCCTCCCCACCATCTCCCCAATACACTTCAGCATATCCAAGGATGGGGTGGGTGTAGGTGGGAATGAGCTCCAACTTCAGACCTCTCTGAGTTGTTTTCTAACTGGACTTTGAACAGCAGTGTGAGATGTCACCGTATTAGGGACAGTAGCCCCTCATGAATATCCTTTGTCCCCAAATGTCTCCAAGAAGATGGGAGAGCTAGTAGCTGGACAAGGGTATGTCCACCGCATTTAAATATGAGCAACAAGCAGGAACCAGTTGTCATGAGCCAGATAGAGACAGTAAAATCGACAAGCAAGACAGTCACGTGACTTCCAGTTCTGAGTTATCAGACACTGGCTACAAAACAGGTGTTTCCCATGCCCAAAGACACAAGTAAACAAACAAAAACTTCCAGCTTGAAAACTTCATCATGGAAACAGAAACTAAAAACACATGATAGCTTTTAAAAGAGGAGTTCCAGGGGCCCAGAGGGATGGCTCAGCAGTTAAAGAGTCCCTACTACCCTATCAGGGCACCAGAGCCTGGATTCCAGCGCCCCACACCAGGCAGCTCATAAATGCCTGTAACTTTACCTCTAAGGGATATAAGTTTCTATAAGTTTCTTTTCTGATCTCCATGGGCGCGCGCGTGCGCGCGCGCGCGCGCGCGCACACACACACACACACACACACACACACACACACACACACACACACATACACAAACACATAAATGAAAATTTAAACATTTTTAAAATGGGCCAGAGAGATGGCTCAAGTGATTAAGAATGTTTGCTTTCTTCCAGTGGACACCAGTTCAGTACCCATAACTCACATCAGGAAATTCACAACGGCCTGTAACCCCAGCTCCCAGGCATCTGCCCTCTGCTGATCCCTAAGGGCACCTGCACACACGTATATATTCACACACGTATATATTCACACACACACACACACACACACACACACACACACACACACACACACACACAAGTAAATCTTTAAAAAGGCATTACAAAGGGGCGGAGAGGTAGCTCAGCAGTTAAGAACACTGGCTGCTCTTGCTCCTGGGTTCAGTTCCCCTCTCCCACTTGGTAGCTCACCATCATCCTTAACTAGTCTAGGGGATCTGATAACCTCTTCTGATCTCCTTGGACACCAATCATACATGGGGCACACACAGGCAAGCACAACACTTGCACACATAAAATAGAATAAATAAACCTAGACCTGGGAGTGGGACTCCAGAACTAAAATATGTTTGCTGAAATTAAGAACGTAATGAACTGATTTAATAACAGATTAGACACAGTCACAGAGGAAATTACTGAACTAGAATGCAGATTGGAGGAAACTGTTCAGAGTGCTGTCCTGAGATAAAATGATGTAAAGTACAGAAATGAGAAGACAGGACAGACACAAAGAGGCTTGGTTTGCGCTTCACTGAAGTCTCAGAGGAAAGGAGGACAGAGGAGAGATAGAACAGGGTAGGAGAGATATTTGAATTTTCTGTTGTAGAGGGAAGATGTTGGTCTACAAGTCATAAAGCTCCAAAAGTGGGTTGTTCCAGACACAGGAGGGATCAATCACACACTGGCTCAGATCAGAGGGTCAGAAAGCAGGCTGAAAATTCTGATAATCTAAGCAGGTTTTGCAGAGTATACAAGAACCAGACCTACCCAGTGTTTATATTTTATTCATAAAAGCTAATGTGCCAGTGGGGGGCTGCCTCACCCTGCTATAGGAAAAGGCAAAGGTTTTTGTGTGATGGTGTGAGCTGCAGAGAAGCCCTCTGTGAGCCCTGTGTGAGCATAGCAGCCCTCTGGAGACCACATGTGAGGAGACAGTGAGCACCAGGGAGGGCAGAGCTAGGACTGTCCTTGTTGTCCTACCGAGAGGTTAGGAAGGTTTGGGACACTTGAGCAAACATGGCCACTGGCTTCCCTTCTGGTGCTCAGCCTTTGCAGCTCTCAGATGCCTTTGGGGACGTGACGAAGATCTCCACTGAGAGAGTGTCTAGGCAAACAACTTTCTCCATGAAATTCTCTGGGTGGAGAGGGTCTACTGGGTTTCTGTATGAGAAAGACAGCTCTTGCATTGAGCTGTGTGTGGTAAAGAGCCTCCGAGAAGTTGCTTGGTGAGGAATGGGACTCCTGGGGTCTTTAGGAGGAACTTCAGTGAGTGGAGGGTCCATGGAGGGAAACCCTTCTAATGAAGGAACCCCACCCCTGGGGCAGGGGGTCAATACTAGCTGTTATTAGCAACCAAATCAGCAGGAAACAGTGATTGTTCCTGACCTGACAGGATGATGCTTTAGTGGGCTGCTGGTTGCTGGGGCCGTGTTCCCTTCTCTTCCACACCCTCAGGTCTCCAGAGCCACCCAGGGCCTGGGAAAGTCCTGACTTGACAGCGTGCCTCAGACTGGCTTGTCCTTCCAGTGATCCTCTAGGCTCCTTGGGGGCCCAGACAGAAGCTGACTGGGTTTGATGACATTGATTCTGATCTGGGATTTTCCTCTCCCCCACCTCTTCTGTGTTCCTCCTCCATCTTGCCTTCCCCCCTCAGCTTCAGGGAGAGTACAAAGAGGAGGCGGAGACACGGGCGCCACACACCGAACTCTCATTTTCTTCAAGAAAAAATTATGATTATTAAAGATTTAATCTTTGGGTCTAAAAATATCACAGTGCAAATGTTTCCGATCTCTCTCTCTCTCTCTCTCTCTCTCTCTCTCTCTCTCTCTCTCTCTCTCTCTCTCATCATCTCTCTGTCCTCAGTTGGCATTGCTGATCATCACACTGCAGATAGATGTGGAAGGCACTGGACTCTTCATCACCTGAGAGAAGAAACAGGATGAAGGGAAGTGCAGCTGGAAGGAGGGAGGTGGAGGCATGTGGCATCCAGGGCTGGCTCTGGTGGGGTGGTGAGGTGTCCTCCGCCTGTACTGCAGAGAGGCAAGCTGTTTCCCGGCACACTGAACTATAAGGTACACTTCTTCCTAGGGAATGTTTGGTTTGGAGTTTATTGATTCCATTTGCTAAAGTATTTTCCTTAAATATTTTTTGAGTCTAATGCACACCGTATGTGCCCGTAATGGCTCTAGCTAGCCTTGTTTTTCTGCAGAAGCAATAAAGCAATTTGGATGAGATGAAATTGAACTGAGAGGCATGGGGAGAGGGTGGCTGGAGATGCGAGCCAGAGGAGGAATGGGCTCCAGATGAAAGAGTAGGAGGTAGGGAGGGGCAGCGTGCCAGAGCAAAAGAGCCTTGTGGGTATAGAGGGATGGAGAGAAGGGAGGAAAAGAAGGCAGGCAAGGGAGGAGAGAGGAAAACACAGAGGCATGGAGGGAGGGGGAAGGAAGACGGGAAAGGGAGGGAGGGAAGGAGGGAATGAGGGAGGGAGGGAATGAGGGAGGGAAGGCAGAAAAAAAGAAAGAAAGAAGGAAGGAAGGAGGGAGGGAGGGAGGGAGGGAGGGAGGGAGGGAGGGAGGGAGGGAGGAAGGAAGGAAGGAAGGAAGGAAGGAAGGAAGGAAGGAAGGAAGGAAGGAAGGAAGGAGGCAGGCAAATGGCTCTAGTACAGCCACTAACAAGTTTATGCGACCTGGGCTCATTTGGGGGTTAAGTCTGGGAGTGACCTTCAGTTGTGGTTGGAATGTGGAATGTTCCAACACTTAGTTCCCAGCTCGATGGTACTAGTTTGAAAGGTAGCAGAACTGTTATGGGGGATAAAGGGGCAGACCCTTGCTTCAGGAAGTGGGCCACTGGGGGCAGATCCTAAGTTTTACTGTACTTCTTGGTTTTCTTAGTTTCCTGTCCTGCCAAGATGTGAGGAGTTCTAGTTGCTTCCCTGCCACCAGTCACCACACCTTCTCCATGATGGGCTCTGACCCCTTAAACTGGGAGCACACGTATGCTCCGATCCCCTTAAATCATCTCTTGTTGGGTACTTGATCATGGCAATGAGAATAGCAATTAATACACTTCTCTTTTCTCACCTAAGCTTTTATGAAGGAGGCAAGATGTTAGAGAACATGTGTCCACATCCCTGTCTCTCAATGTGCAACAGGCATGTTTTATGAGCAGGACAACTCCTAGGTTGGTCCCAAGCTGGCATGAAACAATCCCAGAATTCCTATCCCTCTTTGTCCCAGCTCCAGTGATTGGTTAAGGAGAAGGCATACAGCCTAGGACCAAGCCAATCAGTGCCTAGGATTTGTCCATGGCCTTTGGTTCAAGAGATACCTTGTGATGTAAGCTGGTCCAATTAGGGAAGGACCGGCTCAGTCAGAGAGAGATTTTTGTTCAAAGTTGTGTAAAGCCCTCTGGTTGTGAAAAAGGAAGCATAGAGCCCGGAGCTGCTTGCATGGGGGAGGCAGCATGGGAATGAGGCCAATCTATGAGGGTAGAGCAGAGAGAATCACAAAAGATGGAGTTGCATCTTCCTGATGTCTTCCTGACAGCAGAAACGTCTGGATCAAACTTGCCCTGAAACCCACATTTCCTCTGGACATTCCAATTACATGAGTCAATAGTTCACATTACTAATTTTTTTTTTTCTTTTCAGTGTCATACTCATATATAAAGAGTTTTGGTTGTTTTCACACACACCCCACTATCTTCTCTCAATCCCCCCACTCTCTCTCACCCTTTCTTCCCAGGAGACCCCCTGCTACTTTCCTGACTTGGTGTGTATGTACATGTGGCCCACTGAGTTTAGCCAGTGTTGTGTGCAAGAACATGGTTGAGGGTGATTTAATGGAATATGAGCATCTCAACAGTGAAGAAAATGGACCCTGCCCACTTTCTCTGGAACCATTAACTGTCAGTAGTCCCCCAGGAGGGGGTGGGACTTTGTAAGACCCTCCCCCATCTATGACGCAATGTTGATGTGCCCTATCTTGTGTAAGTTCTATATAGGTAACCCTAGCTACTTGTGAACTGTGTGTTCACAAGTTCAATGACCACAGTATGTCCAGAAGACAGCCTTTCACAGCCTTCTTCTTCATCTTCTGGTCTATTTTTTCTGCTTCCTCTTCTACAATGTTCCCTGAACCATTGAGAGAATATAGATGTTCTGTTTAGGGACAGGTACTCAATAGTCATTTATTAGCACTTTGACAAACTAGTGTCTTCATTAACCACTCCCTACTGTAAAAAACAAACAAACAAACAAACAAAAAACAAAACTAACCAAGCAAGCAAGCAAACAAATAAACAAATAAACCCCAAACTTGTCTGACCAAGGCTAAGAGCAACACTCATCTATGGTACAAACTTAAACGTTTAGAAGACAGTTTGACACCAAATCCCTCTAGCAAAACAACAGTGGCTGAGTCTTAGAGTCTCTGACATCCTCGGCCACAGGCTCCTCATCAAGTTTGTGGAACTAGGCACAAATTCTCTCCTGTGGAGCAGGCCCCAAATCTAATCAGGAAGTGATGGTTTACTCCTCTGATAACCATGCCACTACTGCCGCACTAAGCACCTCTGGTCTGCCAGGTCGTTACTGCAGTTTGCAGGGCTCCCAGCTGGGTAAAACTCATAATGACTTTTTGCCATGAGCAACCCGTGTAACACTTTCTGGCACTATAAAAGCTAGCCAGCAGGGAGGAAGTTTCCAGGTCACTTCCAGCTTGATTTATCTATGTCCTGCCACCAAAGTGTATGATGGCTTTAGAAACAGGATCCTATTAGCTCTCGTAGGTAGCCAAGGTGCTTAAGGATTTTGAGTTAGGTTTTTCTGTTCTATATATAGTCAGTGGTATTCTTTACATTTAAGATCTCTGTCCTTCCAATTAGAGGTCTCATGAAAACGCTCTCGGAATGTGTCTACAGGCCATGGTAGACATGGTTCCAGGTGGAAAGATTGTTCTCCTGGAAGCTCAGTTCTATCCCGAGGGCACGGATATGGGCGGTAGGAGGGATGGAGAGAGTTGCAAAGGCCAGCAAATAAGCATCCTGGATGGTCACTCTATGCGGCTGTGCAAGCTCTTTCCTGATCAGCCCTTTTCAACTCCAAGTGCTGACCCCCGAGCCCATACCCAAGACTGGCCTCTCAGACCTATCACCTACTGCAGCAGACACAGTGTTGGCCCCTCTGACCACACCCATCCTCCCCCTCTGCACATCTTCTCAGGATCCTCTCACCCATTACTACTACTACTGCTGCTGCTGCTACTGCTGCTGCTGCTACTATTTTGAGACAGGGTCACGTGTCTCATTTGGAACTCCTTATGTGGTTATAGCTGACCTTGAACCACCAATTGATTCTCTTGCCTCTACTTTCCAAGTATTGGGATTACAGGCCTGTGCCACCTTGCCCTGATTGGTTGGGGTTTTCTCAATTTTGTCCATTGGTCCTAGCCCAGCCTCAAGTGCCAGCCTCAGTTACACCCATAAAACATCCTGGATTTTGATTTAATTTTCCAATGTCTTTTTATCCCGCCAAGGCTCATCAGAGAGCTGCCGGAACTAAGGGTGGGAGGTGTGGCCAGGGGTGAGGATTGGGGATATGGCCGGAGAATACGTAGCTTGAAAATACTCAATAACCTGCGTGTCCTTGCTGGACATCAAACTACCAAGAGCAAAGTTAATGAACTGTTCTTGACTAGTAAAATTATATAGTGGATGAAAAGAGACAGCAGTGTGAGGGGCCAAGGGCTAAAAGACACATGGAGAACTTGCACTCTAATTGATGAGCCCTGTTTCCTGCGTGACCTTCTTGGGGCCCTTGCACCTTTTCTGTGGCACTCTCCGGGTCTCCTCTTTTGCAGCAGTTATTTATATATTAATGTGACTTGCTGGTTGGGTCAGGGAACCACTCCCTGCCAGAGCTGATAGGCAGCCCAGCAAAGTGGGAGGAGCCTGAGGGAGACGGATAGGCGGGACTAAGGAGATGGGCAGCCTCTGGGATCCACCTAAGTGGGGCTCACCTTTGCAGAGTTGCTGGTGGGGTTATTGAGAAGTCCGGCTCTGAAGGCTGCCACCTTCACCTTCTTTTAGACTCAGGAAAGCATAAAAGAAAGTGTATGGCTGTGGAACTAAAAAGAGGTCATGGTCTGCTTTTTTGAAGACTGCTGTGGAAACATGGTCCTGTCAGGCTAATTTGTAGATAAAATGCATCTCCACCTTGATGAGGCAGCACTGTGAATGACCAAGCTGGGAGTCTGAGCACAGAGCACAGGTAGTGAGGAGACACACAAGTCAACCTTTGGCCCAGACTGGGGAGCTTTTCTGATTGGATGGCGATGTCCTTCTTCCGTGTCACCACCACTGGGGTCAAGTTCAGAGTAGAGTGAGTGAGAGCTTGGTTCCCTAGTGTCTTAGTTAGGGTTTCTGTTCCTGTGAAGAGACACCATGACCACGGCAACACTTAGAAAGGAAACCATTTAATTGGGGCTGGCTCACAGTTCAGAGGTTTAGTCCATTATCAACATGGCGGGAAGCATGGCGGCATGCAGGCAGACATGGTGCTCGAGAGGGAGCTGAGAGTTCTACATCTGGATCTGCAGACAACAGGAAGTGAACTGTCACAGTGGGAGTGGCTTGAGCATATGAGACCTGAAAGCCCACCTCCACAGTGACACACTTCCTCTAACAAGGCCACGCCCCCTAATAGTGCCACTCCCTACGAGCCAAGCATTCCAACACTTGAGTTTATGGGACCATTCTTATTCAATCCCCACACCTGGGGCTTCTGAAACCTGGGCATACTGGGCCTGGGGCCTGCTTTCTGAGCATGGCCAGTGGCTCGAACAAGCCTGCAGTTTGGTGTGGCCCAGGATTAGACCTGGTGCAGACCTGCCTAGGGAAGGTATAGAGGGGTCTGAATCAGGGTTTCTAGTGTGGTGGTATTGTGTTCCCTGAAATATTGTGCACTCTAATAAACTTATCTGGGGTCGGAGAACAGAACAGCCACTCGACAGACATAGAGACCAGAAAATGGTGGCACTCACACCTTTAATCCTATCACTTGGGAGGCAGAAAT